GACCTAGGCGGGCGTTTCTAGACCAAATCAGGGACGTCTTGAAGAAAGGCCAGGTCAAAATTTTACCATTTTGACCATTTTTAGCTAGTAGTTACACAATAAGGAACCCTTATAGTTTCGCCATGTCCGTCCGTCTGCCCGCAGTTTTGCTCAGAGACCTTAGGTGCTACAAATCTGTAATTTGGCATAGTTATAGATATTAATCACGCCTAGAAAACTATGAAATAAAATCTTAAAAAACATTTTTATTTTAGGTACTTCCCATACATAAATGGAGGATGTTTTTTTTTACCCGTCTTTTCCATCATGTGGGATATCGTTGGATAGGTCTTTCAAAAACACTGGGGATGTGGAACAACATATTCTCGATTCAGGGATCCGTTTGCAAAATATTTAGCCTTAAAGTGGTATTTTTCATTAGAGTCATGTGTCCCCAACCGAAACGATAACACTTTTTGTTAATATTTTTACATATTACGTTTTTATTATGATTAATAACCATAGACTTAGAATATACTGGAGTATAGACCGACATAGTCTGCAAGGGAGAAGAGATTTCCTTATGGCAAAACCAAAAACGCCAGATAGGAAAGGCTACCAAATCTCATGACTCTGTAACCGATTTTGAATGACAGTTCTCCTATAAGCTCCTATAAGCCTCAAATAGCTCCTAGATATTTTGTAATTCTTTAGAGTGTAATAACGGTTATTTTTAGTAACTGTTTTCCAATACGGTTACTTGTTCTGTGAGTGACTGTGGTGTTAATAATAGAAATAATCCTGATAATTGCACATTTCACAAGTAAATTTTCAAGACGTCGTCAATGTTATTACGCGTGGTTATTGGTTGTATTGGTGGTATTGGTTAAAATTAATGTTATACCTAGTCAGGTCATAAGTATTGTCACACAGTAAAAACTTTTCTTTTAGAATGCTGGGCACAAAAAAGTTTATTGAATTCGAATTTCGAATTGTTCATGAAAATAAAACTGTATACTTTTTAGAATTTTACTCATTTTTAAATATGGAGTGGACGCTTAAAGAAGACCGTGTTGCAGTTATTGCGTTGCATCGTTGCGGTTACGCGCCAATTCAAATATTTAACATACTGAAAAATTTTAATATAACCAAAAGATTCGTTTATCGTACCATCAAACGATACAATGAAGACTCTAGTGTAGATGACAGGTCAAGAAGTGGTCGCCCTCGGTCTGTTAGGACTCCAGCAGTGATAAAAGCTGTGAAGGCGCGAATTCAAAGAAATCCCAAACGTAACCAAAAACTGTTGGCCCTTCAGATGGGGTTAAGCAGAACCACGGTGAAAAGGGTGTTAAATGAAGACTTAGGGCTTCGGGCATATCGAAGAAAAACAGGACATCGTTTGAATACTCGTCTAATGGACCTGAGACTGAAGAGATGCCGCGCATTGTTGAAGCGGTACGCGGGAAAAAAGTATCGCGAAATTCTTTTTTCGGATGAAAAAATTTTTACCGTAGAAGAGAGCTACAACAAACAAAATGACATGGTGTACGCACACAGTAGTAAAGAAGCCAGCAACCGTATTCCGCGTGTCCAACGAGGTCATTTTCCATCCTCGCTCATGGTATGGTTGGGAGTTTCTTGTTGGGGCTTAATAGAGGTACATTTTTGTGAGAAAGGTGTAAAAACGAATGCAGTTGTGTATCAAAATACAGTCCTGACGAACCTTGTGGAACCTGTTTCTCATACCATGTTCAATAACAGGCACTGGGTATTCCAACAAGATTCGGCGCCAGCTCATAGAGCGAAGAGCACACAAGACTGGCTGGCGGCGCGTGAAATCGACTTCATCCGGCACGAAGACTGGCCCTCCTCCAGTCCAGATTTGAATCCGTTAGATTACAAGATATGGCAACACTTGGAGGAAAAGGGGCTTGCTCAAAGCCTCATCCCAATTTGGAGTCACTCAAGACATCCTTGATTAAGGCAGCCGCCGATATTGACATGGACCTCATTCGTGCTGCGATAGACTGGCCGCGCAGATTGAAGGCCTGTATTCAAAATCACGGAGGTCATTTTGAATAAACTTTAGTATCATAAGAATCTATGTTTTGTTAAGTTCATTTTGGTATATAAATGGTTACATAATGAATAAACTTGTTTCAATTATTTTATATTAAACATGTGACAGAATTTATGACCTGACTAGGTATACTGTAGATTTTTATTCATTATAAAACTGTAGTACATTAAAGATAAAAAATCTTGAGATTATCCTCTTTAAGCCATTATGAACCCAACTATAGTAAAATTATTTTGTCCGTGCAGTTGGGGTCATAAATCATAGCTATGCCTTAGCCCGGCTAGGGCGGTGAGCATTTTGCGCGGGCGCAACGCCATTATCGATAACAATTAATTCCATTATTACCCCCGCCTAATACCTGCAAATTAGTGCAATGATAATATGTCTAGAACAGGTAAATGAAATTGTATACTTGGGGAGTGCTTTTAGCCGGGATGGGAGATGTGATTTAGATGTGGACAGGCGTGTCGCTGCCGGGAACAAAGTCAATGGTGCCCTGACTGCGTTAGTCAAAAGGCAAGGCGTAGCGAAGAGTGCACGCCTTGTAATACATAACGCAGTGTTGGTACCGACTTTGTTATATGGCAGCGAAACCTGGGTATGCCAGAAGAAGCATAAAAGTAAGTTGAATGCAGTGGAGATGCGATCTCTTCGTAAAATGTGCGGCGTTACCATGGCCGACCGAAAGCGAAACGAAGAGATTCGCAATATGGCAGGTTTGAAAGATGACCTTATCACAAAAATTGATAAGGGCGTGCTTCGGTGGTTTGGGCACGTTGAGCGAATGAGTGAAGACCGAATGGTGAAGAAAATATATAGCGCGAAAGAATACCGAGAATAACTTTCGAAGACCATGTGAGCAAATTGCTCGAAGAGGGTAGGGTCAAGAGTACTCGGATACCTAGACGTGCATGCATGAAGAAGATAATGAATCTGAAAGAAGCGAAAGAGGTTTGTAAGGATCGTGACACTTGGCGATCTGTTCTCTCTGGCTACCCCGTCAGGGATTGTGCGTGAAGATAAGTAACAAATGAATCATCGAAGGCATGTACACGGCGGCGGTGCGGTATACAAAGGGTAGTGCGACATTGTTATGTTATGAGTCATTTGTTTTCCATTATTACCCCCGCCTAATACCTGCAAATTAGTGCAATGATAATTTAGTACATATATCGAAGAGAAAGTTGTTTTTGCGCATTCGCTCTCTGAATTTCTTTAGTGACTATTTTGCCTGTTGGCACCAATATACCAGCAGAAGCACTTGTTGTTATCAACAATGTTTTACCATTTTTCACTGAAATATAAATAGATCCCGAAAAGTTACAAAGTGTTAATTTCTGCCGTTCTCGTGAAATCGCTGCGGCGATGGTGTGAGGAGACGTTAGCTCTCCACGACAAAACGTTTTATCAATTTTTTTTCATTTTTATCACTAACCCACATAATGACAAAACTAAATACACTATCGATAACGCTTATCGACAACAATAATGCGCATCACTATGCTCGCACCTAAGGCACGTGAGTGGGAGAGAGAGCGAAATACTCCGATGATTTATGATCCAAACTGCACGGACAAAATAATTCTAGTAACCTTACTTAACCAACCTCACGGTCACACTAGTACAATATTCATAGATGTTGAGCGGAGCTTCAGATTATATTCCCAAGTCACAATGATAAAACTTTTAGCGTAGTTAGGTATAGATAACTTTTATATATAGTATAATCATTTTACCGCTTCCATAACAATAATTTTTCGATAATCCTTGTAAGTAAATTGTAGATCACTATGGGCCTAAGCACTATGCTCAATGACCTCAATAGTGTTTCCCAACGGATAGGTCTTAAGATGAACACGGACAAAACAAAGATCATGTTTAATGTCCATGTCACACCTATGCCGGTAATTGTTAGGAGCACTAAGCTCGAAGTTGTTGACGAGTATGTTTACCTGGGACAAATAGTCCGACTAGGTAAGTCCAATTTCGACCGAGAGGTCAATCGACGGATTCAACTCGGTTGGGTAGCGTTCGGGAAATTAAGGCACATCTTCTAGTCAGGTTTACCTCAAAACTAGAAAAAGAGACTGTACAACCAGTGCGTGTTGCCAGTGATGACATATGGAACTGAGACGTGGTCCTTCACTGCTGGCCGGATGAGGAAGCTCAAGGTTGCTCAGCGAGCTATGGAGAGGGCTATGCTCGGAGTTTCTCTGCGTGATATACTTAGAAATGAGGATATCCGCAGTGAAACCAGGGTGACCGACATAGCCCAACGGATTAGTAAGCCGAAGTGGCAAAGGGCCTCGAAGACACCGAAAACCGATGGGGAAGAAAGGTTCTCGAGTGGCAGCCTCGTACCGGCAGGCGAAGTGTAGGGCGTACCCTCACTAGATGGAGTGACGACCTGGTAAGATATGCAGGAATTTGATGGATGCAGGTGGCTCAGGATCGTGATTTGTGGCATTCCTTGGGGGAGACCTATGTTGCATAGACGCTACGTGTCCTCTACTCAGTTGAAGCTTACCTGACGGATGTAGCGGACCCCTGTATGATACCAAAAAGTAAAGTAAAAAAGTAAAGTTGCAGCCTATTTACGTCCCACTGCTGGGCACAGGCCTCCTCTCATTTCTGAGAGGGTATTAGGGCAAGGAAATATCCGCCGCGCTGCTCCATTGCGTGTTGGCGAACTTCACATGTCTTTGAAATTTTTTTTTTTCTTATTTCTCAGACATGCAGGTTTCCCCACTATGTTTTCCTTCGCCACCGAGCACGTGGTAAATCAGCACTAAAAAATGTAATTAACAATTTCATTGGTGCCGGTGGGGATCGAACCCGAGTTGCTCGCGTACTGTGAAGCTTACAGCGAGCGTTAACCATCTGAGCTACCACGGCTCCGATGATACCGAAAGTTACCTTTAAATCATTGTTGTGGTAGCGGTTCGAGTCGCTGCGTGGCGTGTGGCGCGCTGCGGTGGAGGTCCACCAGCGGGCGGGTGCGCCGGCTCACGCGGCCGCCGCGCTCGAGGCGCTGGCGCGCGCCGCGCCCGCCGACTGCCGCAGCCGCGCGCGCCTCGTCAAGTTGCTGGCGGGCAGCGACCCCGCGCGCGCGCGCAGCCTCGCCGAGCTGCTGCCGCCCCTGCACCGCCAGGTGTGTGTGTGTGTGCGTGTGTGTGCGTGTGTGTGTAGACACGCGCCGGCCCGCCGACTGCCGCAGCCGCGCGCGCCTCGTCAAGTTGCTGGCGGGCAGCGACCCCGCGCGCGCGCGCAGCCTCGCCGAGCTGCTGCCGCCCCTGCACCGCCAGGTGTGTGTGTGTGTGCGTGTGTGTGCGTGTGTGTGTAGACACGCGCCGGCCCGCCGACTGCCGCAGCCGCGCGCGCCTCGTCAAGTTGCTGGCGGGCAGCGACCCCGCGCGCGCGCGCAGCCTCGCCGAGCTGCTGCCGCCCCTGCACCGCCAGGTGTGTGTGTGTGTGCGTGTGTGTGCGTGTGTGTGTAGACACGCGCCGGCCCGCCGACTGCCGCAGCCGCGCGCGCCTCGTCAAGTTGCTGGCGGGCAGCGACCCCGCGCGCGCGCGCAGCCTCGCCGAGCTGCTGCCGCCCCTGCACCGCCAGGTGTGTGTGTGTGTGCGTGTGTGTGCGTGTGTGTGTAGACACGCGCCGGCCCGCCGACTGCCGCAGCCGCGCGCGCCTCGTCAAGTTGCTGGCGGGCAGCGACCCCGCGCGCGCGCGCAGCCTCGCCGAGCTGCTGCCGCCCCTGCACCGCCAGGTGTGTGTGTGTGTGCGTGTGTGTGCGTGTGTGTGTAGACACGCGCCGGCCCGCCGACTGCCGCAGCCGCGCGCGCCTCGTCAAGTTGCTGGCGGGCAGCGACCCCGCGCGCGCGCGCAGCCTCGCCGAGCTGCTGCCACCCCTGCACCGCCAGGTGTGTGTGTGTGTGCGTGTGTGTGCGTGTGTGTGTAGACACGCGCCGGCCCGCCGACTGCCGCAGCCGCGCGCGCCTCGTCAAGTTGCTGGCGGGCAGCGACCCCGCGCGCGCGCGCAGCCTCGCCGAGCTGCTGCCGCCCCTGCACCGCCAGGTGTGTGTGTGTGTGCGTGTGTGTGTGTGTGCGTGTGTGTGCGTGTGTGTGTAGACACGCGCCGGCCCGCCGACTGCCGCAGCCGCGCGCGCCTCGTCAAGTTGCTGGCGGGCAGCGACCCCGCGCGCGCGCGCAGCCTCGCCGAGCTGCTGCCACCCCTGCACCGCCAGGTGTGTGTGTGTGTGCGTGTGTGTGCGTGTGTGTGTAGACACGCGCCGGCCCGCCGACTGCCGCAGCCGCGCGCGCCTCGTCAAGTTGCTGGCGGGCAGCGACCCCGCGCGCGCGCGCAGCCTCGCCGAGCTGCTGCCGCCCCTGCACCGCCAGGTGTGTGTGTGTGTGCGTGTGTGTGTGTGTGCGTGTGTGTGCGTGTGTGTGTAGACACGCGCCGGCCCGCCGACTGCCGCAGCCGCGCGCGCCTCGTCAAGTTGCTGGCGGGCAGCGACCCCGCGCGCGCGCGCAGCCTCGCCGAGCTGCTGCCGCCCCTGCACCGCCAGGTGTGTGTGTGTGTGTGTGTGTGTGTGTGTGTGCGTGTGTGTGCGTGTGTGTGTAGACACGCGCCGGCCCGCCGACTGCCGCAGCCGCGCGCGCCTCGTCAAGTTGCTGGCGGGCAGCGACCCCGCGCGCGCGCGCAGCCTCGCCGAGCTGCTGCCGCCCCTGCACCGCCAGGTGTGTGTGTGTGTGTGTGTGTGTGTGTGCGTGTGTGTGCGTGTGTGTGTAGACACGCGCCGGCCCGCCGACTGCCGCAGCCGCGCGCGCCTCGTCAAGTTGCTGGCGGGCAGCGACCCCGCGCGCGCGCGCAGCCTCGCCGAGCTGCTGCCGCCCCTGCACCGCCAGGTGTGTGTGTGTGTGTGTGTGTGTGTGTGTGTGTGCGTGTGTGTGCGTGTGTGTGTAGACACGCGCCGGCCCGCCGACTGCCGCAGCCGCGCGCGCCTCGTCAAGTTGCTGGCGGGCAGCGACCCCGCGCGCGCGCGCAGCCTCGCCGAGCTGCTGCCGCCCCTGCACCGCCAGGTGTGTGTGTGTGCGTGTGTGTGTGTGTGTGCGCGGGCGCGTTATACTCAAATTTAAAAAAAGCTTATTGGCGACTCAACTATTATATGGTTTTCCAATCTACCTCTAGCTTGTCAGTGCTAAACCGAAATAGTGGGCACGCCTATTTTGCAGTCTGTGCCCTCGTAGAATTTACAAATTTCTTGAATAAATGTAAATCGACGCAGGTTTGATCACTGACAAATAAATGACGCTAATTATATATTATGTTTTATTACTCAACCAATGTAGTTCAGTTTTTTCTGTATTTAACCGTGTTTATTAATTAAATAACAGGGTAAAATCGATGTCGAGGCGCTGGAGTCGTCGAAATGGATGATGGGCGCGAAGGTTGTAAAGAAAACTGTCCAGAGCAAACAAGAACAATCGCCAGGGTAAAACTTTATACATTAATATAAAACCATAAAGAATTTGTCGCCATGGTTAATCATTTCCTTTATTTTTATCAGAACTCCCGGTTCGGAATTAGGACAAAAGATGAAACCGAAAAGGAAACGCAAGACCAAACTGCCACCCAATGCCGACCTCTCGAAGCCTCCGGATCCAGAAAGGTGACACGATTGTCGTACATTTTTCGTGAATAAGATAACTATTTTAACTTTCTAGGGAAGCTTCTGAAGCCTGCTAATGTTCGTTTTTAAACTATATATTTTTTACTGTAGACTAGCGTGAGCAGCCAAAACTCCAAATATACAAGCAAAGCACGTTAAAATTTCGTTTCTATAAAGTCTGTGCCCGAAGTGGATTCTTTATAGATTTCTCTGACTTAAAATATTATCATCTAATTAAAATCTAAATATTTTCAAATGTAGTTCGTTCATTATTTTTTTAACAGCGTCATTACTGTTGGATATTCTTATGTAGGTATACTGTCTCGTTGGACTAGTGGTAAATGTAGTTACTGATCAAGAGGCCCTGGGTTCGAATCCCGGGTTGGCTCAAAATCAATTATTAGGTTTTTCTGTCAGGAAATTCGCAGTAGCAGCCCAGAGTCAGGAAGTTGGCGGTGTTTCTCCCCCGTGCCTTGGAAAGCACGTTAAACCGTCGATACTGCGCCTGATCTCTCTCCGGTCCTGTCGGATAACCGTCCCATCAGACTATGAGAGTGAGGGAATAAATAGTGCACTTATGATTGCGCATACACTCGGGCACTAGAATCCTGTCCAGCGCAGATAGCTAGTCTCCGTTGAGATTGGCCGCCGTAACTAAAACTTGGTCTGGAGGACATGTGGGTATTTATACATTTAATATTATTATTATTACTTGCCTGAAATGTCCCACTGCATGGCAAAGGCCTCCCTACTCTCTTTCCACTTCACTCCGTCCAGAGCCACCACAGACCAGTCCTTTATGAAGGTGTCCAATGCAACCCGCCATCTCCGCCTGAGTTTGCCTCGCTTGCCTTTTATAGGGATCCATTGCGCTATCACTTTTGCTCATAGGTCATTTAACATTCGGCAGATATGTCCTGCTCAGTCCCATTTTTGCGCAGCAGCTTTTCGTGTGTAATCAGCAATTTTCGATCCTAAACGGATTTCAGTATTCCTGATTTAGTCTACAAGTTAAATGCCCAGAATATTCCGTTCCATTGCTCTTTGACGAACCTCAAATGTTGACTTCTGTTGGACCGTCAAAGACCATGTCTGGGCACCATGGGTGAAGATGGGAAGTATGCACACGTCTATGAGTCTCCTTTACAGGAACAGAGGACTTTACAGAACAATGGATCACCCTTCATAACGAAACGGAGATAGGATAATCTCACACGTCTAACTTCAATGCCCCTATCCGCCCAGCTAGCTGCCAGCGTTCTAAAGACCTCTTTTAAAACTGTCGTAAATAGTTTTTGAGTTAGCCAGTCTCATTGCTGAAAAATTTCGTACAACCGACTTCAATATAAATTATTAAGAAAATAACTCAAAAACATTTGGTCAGACCTTGATCAAATTTATATGGGACCACATGAAAACCACCAGCTTTCAAATGAAAAAATAATCATCGAAATCGGTTCACCCAGAAAAAACATCGAATTGAGTACCTTCTTTTTTTGACGTCGGTAGAAAAGATGTGCCTGTCGTCGAACTGATCTTAATGCATGCCGTGCTATTCTTGTAGATGTTTAGTAAGAGTTGGATGTATGTGGTGTCTATATCTTAATTCTGTAAAACTTTGAAAATAACGTCTTAAAAATGTAAAAATGAAATAGATTGTAATATAAATTATAATATTATGTTTGCAGATGGCTACCGAAGTATGAGCGCTCCGCCTATCGCAAGCGGCGCGGTGTGCGGCGTGACGTCATCAAGGGCAGCCAGGGCATGACCACCACCGCCGTGGATCAGTAGTACGTATACAGCTCAGCACAACTCTTTACTCTTCACGTCATACAACATTTTTTTTATTTCGCTACACCTCATTGTTCCACACTACATACGCCTCGCCACTCTACACTACACCTCACTATTCCACACTACATACATTTTACCATTCCATAATACAGCCTACCATTTCGCACTATATTTCACCACTATAAACTACACCGCAACATTCAACATTTCACCATATTACACAATATAATTTACCATTTCACTCTATATTTCACCATTCCACACTTTACCTCACCATACCACAGTCCACCTGACTATTTCATATTAACCCTCACCATTTCCCACTACACCTCACCATTACACACTACGTACATCTCACAATTTCACACTACACCTCATTATTCCACACTACATCTCACCATTACACACTACATCTCACAATTCCACACTACGCCTCACCATTCCACATTACATCTCACCATTCCACTCTATATCTCACCATTCCACACTAATTATTATTTTGGAGATCTAAATATCTATATAACTGACGACATACTCTTCTTCTTTTTTTTTGTGAAAGGATGGGATGGAATTATATTTATCGCAATTGCCCCCTAATGCATGTTAAATTAGATAGAAATTAAAATTACATTCTATGAAAAGAAATAAAAGTAGATCGTTTCGATTACTTTGACTTACTTACACAATGTTTTCTTAAATTTAGCGACATGAGCAAACAAACTCCAAGTGCTACTTCGGCGACGGCGGCAAAAAGCCCGCGCGTCGAGCATAAAGTAGGTGACAGCGCCTGGCAACGAAAACAGCAGCAAAAAAAGAAAGGCAAAGGTCGCAAATGGTAGAAATCAATAAAATATTTTTTAACTGTGCATTGACGTTTTATTTATCCATCCAGAGTTTTGGCGGGAACTTGACCGGTGGCGGATTGCTGCTCCTCTATTATTTTTTTATAATTTGGATTTAGGATTTGAAGTGGATTTTTTATATGTAACAGTGGTGCTATTTTGTGTATTAAATGTCTGCGCATGTGAACTATTAGTGGAAACGGTGAAACAAGTGCTCCGATGGTGATAAGAATCTCAAGATCTACAGGTTCGAACTGCCGGCTCGAACCAAATTTTCCAAATTGGCCCAATTCCACATGGTAGCGGAATTAAAAATAAGACTACTCCAAGAGGGTACCAGCATCCCTGGAGAATCCCTCACTGAGCATTTTTTTCTGAGCGTGGGTGCTCAGGCTGCCCCGCGTATTCTGTGTATGGGGCGAGATTCCGCTCGAGATGAAACCTGCTCGGGGTAAGCGGAGCAATAAGACGAAGGTAACCCCTGCCACGCTTTCCGTGAATTTGTGCAATATCAGGGGACTTCATTCAAACCTTAACGCCGTCCACTACCATCTGAAAACGGCAAAGCCGGCTTTGCTCTTTGTAACCGAGACACAGGTGTCCTCTCCGGCTTATACTTCGTATCTCTCCTATCCGGGGTACAAATTAGAACACTCCTTTGTGCCCCGGGCTGGAGTTTGCGTGTACGTCAGACAGGGCATCTGTTTTCGACGCCTCGGCAGTCTTGAAGGTACGGACCTCTCCATCTTATGGCTGAGCGTAGACAGCGACGACCATCCCCGCGTCTACGGTGCCTCTATAGGTATAGGTAATACCGACACAGACCGACTCATCAACCACGTCCAAATGGCTGCAGACTCCATGCTACAACAGGTCCCATCCGCAGAGATTGTGATGCTCGGTGATTTTAACGCCCACCACGCTGAATAGCTTGGTTCCCGTTTAACCGTTCATGCGGGTAGATCTGTTTATGACTTTGCCTTGGAAAATGGTCTGATACAATTGGTTACTTCGCCTACGCGGATCCCAGACGTAGAGGATCATGTACCTTCCCTGTTGGACCTTCTGCTGACCTCTGATCCGGACGGATATCAGGTCTCCGTCGATGGCTTGGCTCCTCGGACCATTGTCTGATCCGTAGTACGGTGCCACTCACGCTCCCATCGCAGTTGCGATCTGCAGCTTGCCGCCATGTTTGGCACTATAGGTCGGCCGATTGGGACAGGATGCGGTCTTTTTTTGCATCCTACCCTTGGGGGCGGCTTTGCTTCTCGCCGGATGATCTCAGCTTTGTTGCTGATTCTGTCGCTGATGTGGTACTTCAGGGAATGGAATTATTTATTCCATCATCTGTGGTGCCTGTCGGAGGCAGAACTCAGCCATGGTTTGGTCGCGCCTATAAAACTGCATCACGCTATAATAGTGTTCTCTAAAATAATGGAGTCAATTATTAACAGCCAGCTCATGCGGTACCTTGAGGATCACCAACTGATTAGCGACCGCACTCTGGATACAATTACGGCTATAATTAATAAGTTTATTATGACTGATATAGTTCCTAATAAGTAGAAGGAGGCACTAGTGACCCCAATACCCAAAAATGAAAACCCAGTTGAGTTAAAAGATCTCCGGCCCATCAGCATTTTGCCATTCCTTGCTAAACTGCTGGAGAAAGCTATTTGCGAACAGTTAACTATATTTGTTGAAGCGACTAACATCTTGACTCATTTACAATCTGGGTTTCGCAAAGTACGTGGCACAGCGACTGCTTTACTCGATGTCACAGACAACATATTAGCTGAACAAGATTCCGGTCACAGTACGATTCTAACGCTATTAGACTATTCCCGCGCTTTCGAGTGCCTAAATATTCCCCTGCTGCTTGCTAAACTGTCATATTATGGTTTAGACAAAAATTCGGTCAAGTGGTTCAGTAGTTACTTGATTAATCGGTGCCAGTCAGTAAAATTGGTAAAGAGTTATGGGTTTAATGTACGTACTCACCCTAGGCTTATTAATCGTGGTGTTCCTCAGGGTTCAATACTTGGTCCATTTCTTTTTATAATTTACTGTGCTGACCTTATTAGTTATAAAATATTCTATGTACCACTGCTACGCTGACGATGTGCAAGTATACGTGTCAGCATCACGAGATAAGTTACCACAAGCTGTAACACGGCTTAGTGATGATCTGGACTGGATTGCTGACTGGTCAATGCGAAATGCTCTTGTTTTAAACCCCTCAAAGTCAAAATATATGGTAATGGGCACAAAGACGCAAATAAGTAGAATTTGCCCTTGGTATAACCTTCGACAGTAATCTCAGATTTGAAAATCATGTCCTTAATATGTTAAAAAACTGCTTTTATCGTCTAAAGTTATTATAACATATCCGTGACCTATCTGTACCATCACGCATTACTCTTTGCGAGTCATTAATTTTATCTCGGCTTAACTACGGAGATGTTGTTTATGGACCTCGAATTTTCAGCAAAACAAAGCGACTAATACAACGCGTGCAAAATGCATGTTGTCGGTTCTGTTTTGATGTCCACCCCAGAAGTCACATTACTCCTTTCTTGAACACTGCTTCCATGTTGAGCATGCTCAACATTGACTCACGTAGAGAGCTACATTTAGGAGGGCTTGTTTTTAATGTTATTAAGTTTAAAAAAACAGAGTACCAGCATGTAAAGATAAAGTTCGCTAAGCAAAATTCTGGAAAACAATTGAGGTCCATAAAATCAAGCACTCCCGTATCACAGTCACAAAACTAAAAAAATATTACTTCACCCTGTCTTACACCTCTCTGCAGTTGAATAGGTTTCGTACTTTGATTCTGTACTCGGATAGCCATCGTAGCCCTACTGTACCAACACTTCAGCACTTCGATATACCGACAGTCAACTTGGCACCGCTGAAGGGACTGCAGCACCGACCAAATTTCGACGGAATCAAAGGCTTTCTCATAGTCCACATACGCAATTCAAAGTGGCAGATTGTACTCTTCTGTCTTCTGTACAATTTGCCGAAGGGTGTAAATGTGGTCCATGGTATTAAAGCCTTTTCGGAAACCGGCTCGTTCGAGAGGCTGGAATTCGTCGAGTCTGCGTGCGAGACGATTCGTAATGACTCTCGAAAACAGCACGTAGACGCGGCTCAGAAGAGAAATCGGTCTGTAGAGAGCGTTGTCGCCTTTCTTGAAGAACAAGACCACCGCACTTCTGCTCCACGCCTCCGGAGTAGTGCCACCATGGAGGACGAAATTAAAGAGCTTCTGAAGGACTTCAAGTACCGGTTTTCCACCCGCTTTCAGAAACTCCGCTGTAATTCAATCCTCGCCTGGGGCCCTGCCGTTGTTAAGGTGCTGGAGAGCCATTCTAATTTCGGTCAAACTGACGTCCGGGATATCTTCGGAATAGTGTCGGATAAAACTCGCTCTTGGATCGTTACTCACAATTGCGTGTGGCTCCAACGATGACGTGTACAGCTGTCCATGGAACCTCTCAATCTCACTCAAAATCTCAGGTGTCCTGAAAACGATGCTGCCACACTCGGTCTTCAGCTTTGACAGTTGGCTCTTCAGACAGATCTCTGGCAAAGACTTTGGAGCCTTGGTTAAGCTCGATCGCTTCTTCATCACAAGCTGTTTTGAAGTTGCGTAAGTCCCGCCGCATGCATTTGGAGATCTGTCTGTTCAGTTGCCTGTATGCTGCCAAATCTACTGAAGACTGCAGCTTCGTTTCCCGTCGAACAGCCATGAGATTAAGAGTGTGATCGGAGAGTTTTTGTGTTGGAGGGTCTTGCAGAACTTAGCTCCGACCGCATGGACAGTTTTCACGAGCTTATCATTCATATCGTCCACTTTATTGCAGTCTTCTAGGCACTACAAACGGTTTTGTAACTCGAGCTGAAAGGTTTTGGGACTCTGGACTAGAGCACGAGGGGGACGGAGCGTTGACTTCATTAGACGAGACCTCTCCAACTTAACGTTTAGGTTCAGTGTGCCTCTAACCATTCGGTGATCGCTACCAGTTTTCACTCTCGCGATAGACATCACTGAACAGTTGTCGTCTGGTCGTCATAATAAAGTCAATCTCATTTTTTGTCGAACCGTCGGGGCCCAACCAGGTCCACTTCCTGTGGGGCCGCTTCTGGAAGAAAGAGGTCATCAAAAGAGTCCCTCTTTCTCCACGAAGTCGGCCAGCTGCTGGCCCCTGGGGTTCCGTTGCCCTATTCCAAATTTCCCTATCTTCAGCTCGCCGTTCTCTCTTGTGCCTAGTTTTGCATTGAAGTCTCCCATTAACACCGTATAGTGGGGTTTGGAAGAATTCATGGCTCTAAATATATCTAGATATATTCTCATACATTTCCTCCACCTCCTCATCGGGGTGTGCCGAGGTTGGTACGTAAATCTGTATGTCCTTCAGCGAATACCGTTTGGTGATTCTGAGTATAAGGTACGCAACCCTCGTCGATACACTCTTAATCTATATAACGTTGTTAACAAGAGACTTGTGGACGATAAATCTGACACCTCCTTGGGACAGATGGTCGCCCTCCCGGTGACAGAACAAGTTGCCGGATTTGAGGGTTACCGTGTGCTCTCCCTCTCTTCGAACCTCGGATAATCCTATAATATGCCCTATCTCTTCTTCCAGCTCCACGATCTTCTCGTCAGTCCTCAGGGTGCATGCGTTATAAGTTGCCAGGTCGAGTCGTCGTAGGTGGCAACCGAACCTCCACCGGAGATTCTTAGCACCCCCTGCCCCGCCGTTACCATGGTCGCCACCATCCATCCGGCCGTCTCTTCGTAACTTTCATCATGGGGGGGATATTTGCCATAGTTGCCACGCTTGGCGAGCGGGCGGGCAACCGCAGTTTTTTTTTAAATTGTAATATTGCTGTTATCAGAAATCCCTGTTTCCAATTGTCGCCTTTTACGACACCAACGGGAAGATATGGGGCTGTGGATATGCTTAACCGCCACTACACGG